TTTTTTAAAACAAAGAAGTGTTTAAAATAAAAATAGATAACTAGCTTCCATTCTTAGAAAAACTAAGTTAGTCTGCAGCAAACCTGTGCCTATACATTGTTTTTAAGAGTCACTGCAATAATTCCCTAAGTCAACCATAATGGCTTTGTATCCCTTTTGATGGCACTGGCAAATACTGTTTTTGGTCTTTGTTTAATGTTTTATTTTTTCAGACAGGATTTTGGTAGAAAATACATGAATAAACCTCAGCATATCTGCAGGGTAAAAGAAGACTGGACACACTGAAAAACTCTACAATGGAGGTAATTACACATTCCCAGAATACATCTGCCTTATCGGTACCTCAACAAGCAACTGCACTTCTCTCATGAAGACTGCCTTGAGCACAAACACATCTCATTCAAAGTTATCTGAGCTTTATGGCTGCTTATTTAAGTCATCATTTTGACTTGCCTACAAGGCTAGGCAAACCAAAGGTACTAATTTGTGGCTTTAAAACTACAGCTAGACTCTTCATTACCCAAGAGTCAGGTTCAATAAAGAGGAGTCATTTGGAAGACTGTAAAAATTTTAAAACCTACCACCCAGAGTCCGTAGTGAACAGTTTAGGTGGAATCACTAAGTAAACAGTCCTATAAAACATCCATACTCAGGACTTGATAAAGTGGTACCTTACTATTTCTCCAAGGCAGGGGTAGGAGAGAAAAAGATATGAATTATATCTGCCCTAAGCATCAGCAGTCCCCATCTTCTACCAGTCCCATGAATGTTAGACACATTAACCTAAAGGTTATTAGCAAACATCAAAGGCCAACAGGATGCCTATGATCTACAAAAAGTATGATCTAAGCCCTCTTCCATAACTGTACAGAAACTTCGCCCACTACAACCCCATCATACTGATCTCATCATGAAGGCAAATGCTGCAGGAGACATGGCTTCTCTAAGAGAACCATTCTGATCAGAAAGGGAAGAGGACTACCACTCACTGAACTCCTGCTATACGCCAGCACTAGCCTTACGTGTGTATCTTCAGTTCCTTCTATCATCAGAAAAAGTTCGGTGAGGAAAATCCCAAACTGAATCTCGTAAGTTAACCTCCAGGCCATTTAGTCATAGTCAGAATTTGAACCCAATTACATTGGACGCTAAAGCCTGGTTTTTCCACTATACTGACACCTTTCTTTCCACAGGAACATTCAAGAAACGAGAGATAAATATGAGATCATTTAAATGTACTTGGTAAATGAAACTGTCTGTATCCATTCACTCAACAACTACTTAAGAAACATTTAACAAATATTTAAGCTGTTATAGGGGACAGCAGGAGGTGTGGTGGTGAAGGTGCTAGACTTCCGCATGGCCAACTGTGGTCTGAGCTCTGGATCCTATAGCTTGAAAATTACACCAGGCATGTGTGCATGTGTGTCCAAAGTCCTGAAAGGAGAATGGAGGAGGTGGGATTGTAGCATGGCCATCCCCCTGGGGGGTAGGAGTGATTTCTCATTCTCTCTGTAATTTACCTTGTAAATTATTACTTTCTTTTTTAAAAAAGTATTTATTTAACTTTATCTATTTATTTTACTTCATTATTTTAATTTGACCAGAGAGGGACAGAGTGAAAGAGAGAAAGTGAGAAAGCAAGCTGCTGGGGCTGGGACTCAAACCACGGTCAACCATGTGGGAGTCCAGCACGCTTAATCACCACACTACCTGCCAGCCTGGAAATTGTTCTGTCTTTCGAGAACTTGTCCAAGTATCTTCCCTATGTAACCTTCATCTCACTGAATTAGCACTACCTCCTGAGACCATCCTTTTTTATACATCTAGTGTAGGACTTACTATAATTATTGATCTGTTTTCATTTTCCTTTCCGACAAGAGTGCCTTGAGAGTAGCAACTATCTTTCTCATCTTTGTCTCCCCCGTGACAAACTCATAGAATGTATTTAACATTTATGAAATGAATAAAAGAGTGAATCATAAAGAACTCTAAACTAGGAATTAGAAAACCTAAGTATTAGGTTGTTGGCAAAGTTGTAATGTATTTTTCTATGCAAAAATGCATCATGACTTCCTCAACGACCCAATACAAGTCCTATACTAAGAAGCCAGTCCTGCAGCACATGGCTAAGTGCTACACATTGGGAACTGGATCCCAAGTGGCCAAAGGCGGTTCAAAGCCCGGGACTTTACAAACAAGGGAAGTGTGTGTGGAGGTCTGAAATCCTGACCGGAAGGAGAAACAGGGAGACTCTGCTCCATTGCAGTGCACTTCCTCCCCCTGCCCTGGGGAGACTGCACATGCCCACATAGCCTTTGGCATTTTAAAAAAAAAAGGACTATACTGAAATGCAAAGTAAGTGTAAAGCTTGGTTTTCTTCAGCTACAAAATAAGTCATTTTCAATTCAATTAACTATTCATTGCAGTAACTATGCTTCCTAATGTTTAACAGATGGATCTGTTCCGAGTCCTTTAGAAGGGTCGCAAAAAGCCAAATAATGTTATTACCTCCTCCATCATGGCGTCCTGTGTGGCTGAGATTTCTCCCCTGGTCGCTCCACTGTGTACCAGGTTCCGCAGTCGTATACAGAATTCTCTCATCTACGACAGAAACTTGTTCAGCACTCTAACAGTTATCTAAATTCAATTGTAAATGAGCCTAACAGACCAATGTTAGTTCTATTTTGAGGCTTAACAGACAAGATCCAGGGCAAAGTACATAAAAGCAAATGCATTTTCCTCCAACTACTCTACTTAAACACACAGCTAAAAATACTTTCCATAAAGAGAAATGGCACAGATTATTTGCTGAGAATATGAGAGGGAACTACTCCTGCTCTGTAACTGATAGCACTTCTGTGGCATGATGTGCCTCGCCATCGCTAAAACATCTGATTTGTAATGCCTAGCACCCTTAGAAAAAGCGGGAGACAAGATGCTATGCCACTAAGTCACTCTATCAGAGATTTTTACTTAGAATTTTAATAATTGTCCACTTTTCCTCTAACAAATCACTGACCAACAATTAGGCCAAGCTCTGGTACAGTTTCAATTTTTGTTGCTTTCGATTTTGAGTAATATCCAAGATAAAGATGAGTCTGAAATGTAACGCCAATGCTTAAAATGATCTTTCTCCCACTCGACATGCAATTCAGTGCTATACTATTAATAATCTTTTGGCCTTTGGATAAAAATTCCCAGAGCTTCCTGGGTAGAAAATAACCTACTTCTAAGACTAAAGAAACACATCTAAGGTTTATTTAAAAATACGATCTTTCTCCCAAGGATAACAAATCCAATTTTAGCCTCATAGGCCAGAATGGCAGATTCTAGCAACTCTCAGTTCTCAAAAAAGATGTCTGGCTATCAGAGCAGTATCCCTAGAGGGCTTATAGTCTTCTTTTGGGAAAGGAGTTATGTAGAGAAAAGAAAGTGATTCATTAATGATAACTGAAGTAATAACAAGCAGTTTAGTGACTACATCAAATCTTTCGTGGGTGGATAAACCACACTGATGTGGTCAAGGGAAGTCTCAGAACACAGCACACTCTTTAAGAAAGTCTTGCAAATTGTTCTTCTTGGTTTTACTAGAACATACAGCTGTCCCACCTCCAGAGACCTAAGTGAGAAACACCACCAAACATGTCTGTTGCCTGTATTGATGGGGCATGGCACTCTTTTTTCCCTGAGTACTCACAACAAAATATTAAAATGGACAGAAATATAAATGGAAGTTTTCTTAAACAAAAGCTCAACAACTACTTAAGAAACATTTAACAAATATTTAAGCTGTTATAGGGGACAGCAGGAGGTGTGGTGGTGAAGGTGCTAGACTTCCGCATGGCCAACTGTGGTCTGAGCTCTGGATCCTATAGCTTGAAAATTACACCAGGCATGTGTCCATGTGTGTCCAAAGTCCTGAAAGGAGAATGGAGGAGGTGGGATTGTAGCATGGCCATCCCCCTGGGGGGTAGGAGTGATTTCTCATTCTCTCTGTAATTTACCTTGTAAATTATTACTTTCTTTTTTAAAAAAGTATTTATTTAACTTTATCTATTTATTTTATTTCATTATTTTAACTTGACCAGCGAGGGACAGAGTGAAAGAGAGAAAGTGAGAAAGCAAGCTGCTGGGGCTGGGACTCAAACCACGGTCAACCATGTGGGAGTCCAGCACGCTTAATCACCACACTACCTGCCAGCCTGGAAATTGTTCTGTCTTTCGAGAACTTGTCCAAGTATCTTCCCTATGTAACCTTCATCTCACTGAATTAGCACTACCTCCTGAGACCACCAAATCCTTTTTTATACATCTAGTGTAGGACTTACTATAATTATTGATCTGTTTTCATTTTCCCAAGAGACAAGAGTGCCTTGAGAGTAGCAACTATCTTTCTCATCTTTGTCTCCCCCGTGACAAACTCATAGAATGTATTTAACATTTATGAAATGAATAAAAGAGTGAATCATAAAGAACTCTAAACTAGGAATTAGAAAACCTAAGTATTAGGTTGTTGGCAAAGTTGTAATGTATTTTTCTATGCAAAAATGCATCATGACTTCCTCAACGACCCAATACAAGTCCTATACTAAGAAGCCAGTCCTGCAGCACATGGCTAAGTGCTACACATTGGGAACTGGATCCCAAGTGGCCAAAGGCGGTTCAAAGCCCGGGACTTTACAAACAAGGGAAGTGTGTGTGGAGGTCTGAAATCCTGACCGGAAGGAGAAACAGGGAGACTCTGCTCCATTGCAGTGCACTTCCTCCCCCTGCCCTGGGGAGACTGCACATGCCCACATAGCCTTTGGCATTTTAAAAAAAAAAGGACTATACTGAAATGCAAAGTAAGTGTAAAGCTTGGTTTTCTTCAGCTACAAAATAAGTCATTTTCAATTCAATTAACTATTCATTGCAGTAACTATGCTTCCTAATGTTTAACAGATGGATCTGTTCCGAGTCCTTTAGAAGGGTCGCAAAAAGCCAAATAATGTTATTACCTCCTCCATCATGGCGTCCTGTGTGGCTGAGATTTCTCCCCTGGTCGCTCCACTGTGTACCAGGTTCCGCAGTCGTATACAGAATTCTCTCATCTACGACAGAAACTTGTTCAGCACTCTAACAGTTATCTAAATTCAATTGTAAATGAGCCTAACAGACCAATGTTAGTTCTATTTTGAGGCTTAACAGACAAGATCCAGGGCAAAGTACATAAAAGCAAATGCATTTTCCTCCAACTACTCTACTTAAACACACAGCTAAAAATACTTTCCATAAAGAGAAATGGCACAGATTATTTGCTGAGAATATGAGAGGGAACTACTCCTGCTCTGTAACTGATAGCACTTCTGTGGCATGATGTGCCTCGCCATCGCTAAAACATCTGATTTGTAATGCCTAGCACCCTTAGAAAAAGCGGGAGACAAGATGCTATGCCACTAAGTCACTCTATCAGAGATTTTTACTTAGAATTTTAATAATTGTCCACTTTTCCTCTAACAAATCACTGACCAACAATTAGGCCAAGCTCTGGTACAGTTTCAATTTTTGTTGCTTTCGATTTTGAGTAATATCCAAGATAAAGATGAGTCTGAAATGTAACGCCAATGCTTAAAATGATCTTTCTCCCACTCGACATGCAATTCAGTGCTATACTATTAATAATCTTTTGGCCTTTGGATAAAAATTCCCAGAGCTTCCTGGGTAGAAAATAACCTACTTCTAAGACTAAAGAAACACATCTAAGGTTTATTTAAAAATACGATCTTTCTCCCAAGGATAACAAATCCAATTTTAGCCTCATAGGCCAGAATGGCAGATTCTAGCAACTCTCAGTTCTCAAAAAAGATGTCTGGCTATCAGAGCAGTATCCCTAGAGGGCTTATAGTCTTCTTTTGGGAAAGGAGTTATGTAGAGAAAAGAAAGTGATTCATTAATGATAACTGAAGTAATAACAAGCAGTTTAGTGACTACATCAAATCTTTCGTGGGTGGATAAACCACACTGATGTGGTCAAGGGAAGTCTCAGAACACAGCACACTCTTTAAGAAAGTCTTGCAAATTGTTCTTCTTGGTTTTACTAGAACATACAGCTGTCCCACCTCCAGAGACCTAAGTGAGAAACACCACCAAACATGTCTGTTGCCTGTATTGATGGGGCATGGCACTCTTTTTTCCCTGAGTACTCACAACAAAATATTAAAATGGACAGAAATATAAATGGAAGTTTTCTTAAACAAAAGAACTCAAAAACCCGAATCTCAGTTACTGTAAGTTAATCCACTGTTAATTGTTTTTGATGGTCACATCAGCAGCTATCTCGTACGTTAACTGCATACACTAAAATACCCAGGAATACCTTTAAAAATTCAGCTGGAAGTTCTACGGTTAGTACCCTAAACTCATTCCCGCCCTGCTCCCCACGCCTACCTTGTGATTGAGAATGTCATTCATCCTTCTGGTTGCCTCTGTTGTATAAGATTCAGGGAAGCATTTCTTAGGGACAACGCCATATTTTTCTAAAAGAAAACAAATTATAGTATTCAGTAAGAAAAATAGCTATTACTTTTTAAAAAATAGGCCCTGTTTTGCTGGCTTACTTTAACAATCTCCTATGTTCCTTCCAGGACCAGCAGTTAGCGTAATGGCTATGTCGCTGGACTCCCACGTAGTCCACCGCGGTTCGAGTCCCGGACCCGGTGGCTTAAACTCACGCCGGGCACGTGTGCGTGCATGCCCAAGATCCCGAGAAGAGAATGGAGGAGAAGGGATTTCGGCGTGGCCACCGCCCCTGGGGGGTGATTTCCTGCTTTCTGTCTCTCTGTCTCTCTCTGTCTGTCTGGCGAGCGCTTGCGCCCTATAGCAAAAACCTCTCAAAAAAACACAAAAAAATAAAACAAATAAAAAATAATCTCCTATGTTCTTCAAATTATTAAAATATTTTTAATACACACATTTATCTACCTATGTTGGAATCTATTCTTTTTTTTTTTTTAAGTGAGATTTTTTGCTATAGGGTGCATGCTTGCACCAGAGAGACAGAGGGGCAGAAAGCCAGACGTCACCCCCCATGGGGCAGTCCCTTCTCCTCCATTCTCCTATCACCCCCCATGTTGCAGTCCCTTCTCCTCCATTCTCCTGTTGGGATTTTGGGCACACATGAGTGCGTGCCCAGTGTGAGTTTTAAGCCACTGGGTCCGGGGCTCAAACCGTGGTTGATTACATGGGAGTCAAGTGATGTAACTATTACATCATCTGCTGGTCCCATGGAATTTATTCTTTCTATCTACCATATGCTATAAAGTGCTCAGCGCGATGAGCATTCCCCAAAAGATAAAACTGTGAATAAGGACATTTTTACATAGTTGTAGTTTTAATGTGTTTCTTGATTATGCCAATGGACAAGAGATATACTTTTTTAAGGAAAGTGAGTTGTACTTAATAATACTTCTTTCTTCAACCCACCCTTCTCAGTATCTGTCTCCTTAACTTCCATTTAAGAAAGATACTTAAAAGTGAGAATGTGAATTTAAGGTTTTTGAAACTAACTACACGCCCTTGTTGGAGACCAATGTACTCTGTATATAACCATCAAAGAAATGGCTGCTGCCTAACTATGTGGCCTCGGTCAGCCGTGCTGAGCTGCAGTTCCACTGGAGAAGGGTTCTTACCAACAATATTGACAAGCATGTCCCACTGCCCACCATCATTGGCAGGGTTCATAAGCAAATACTGCACCAGCCTCCCGTCCTCAGGCTCCTTTTTCTGAGCTGTGTCCACAAAAGCATTCAAGAAGAAATAACAGCGTTCAACCTGGAATAAGGGAAGTTAAATAAGATTAAAGGAAAAGAACCAATAACTTTGTTGGCATTATGAACAGAATGAGTATTGAAATCATCAAGGACCCAACATAACGGGTATTTTTAAACTAAAGTTAGTCATTTATACATCAGAATCTAGCTTCAAAAGACTATTTATGAATAGAGTGGAATGCAGGGGCCAGCAGGTAGTGTGGTGGTTAAGAGTGCTGGACTCCCACATGACTGACCATGGTTTGAGTCTCAGACCTGGCAGCTTGCCTTCTCACTCCCCACACCCCTCACTCTGTCTCTCTCTGGTCAAATTAAAATAAATAAATAAATAAAGTTAAATAAAATAATTTTTAAAAGAGCTTAAAATCAAATATATTTTAAAAAGTGGAATGCATACACAGGTGAAATGTATATACAGGTTTACAATCCAATATATTATATAAATTTGAACAGTGTATACATTCCAATAGTGAAAAAATCTTATATTTAGATTCTTCAATCAATAAACATATAATAAACATTTAAAAGATTAAAAAATGGAGAGCTGGCACCTTCACTCTGGTGCCTTGGGAGTCGGATACTACGTGATCAACAGTTCAAATCCGGGCTCCAGCAGCATGAAAAACACACTGGGCACGTGTGTGTGCATGCCTGAAATCTAAATCCTGATGGGATTGGGAAGCGGAGTAAGATGGGCCATGGCATGACCACACCCCACTGGGAGTGCTTTGTCTTTCTCTGATGAGTACTTGCACCCTCTGGCAATTCAAAAAAAAAAAAAAAAGGAATAAAATTATTTATTGTTCTTCAGACCAAGCACTACCAACAGAAGGGAATTAAGCCTAGAACCACCAAATAACCTAAATGAAGATGCTAAAAAGAGTAATCACTGAAAATAAAAATTTAAATATTAACAAACTAAGTAAGCAGCAAGGTAAGTCACTAGGCTTACTATTTCCTTGCAGAAAGTAACCATCTACGGGCCAGCAGATGGCATAATGGTTATGTCCCTGGACTCTCACAAGGCCAACTGCAGTAAGAATCCTGGACCCAGTGGCTTGAAAAATCATACTGGGCATGTGCCCAAGATCCCAGGAAGAGAATGGAGGAGAAGGGATTGTAGCATGGCCATCCACCTGGGGGGTGGGGGGGATTTCTTACTTTCCCACTCACTGTCTCTGCCTCTCTTTCTCTCTGGCAAGCACATGCACCCTACCACAAAAAACAACCAAAAGCAACACTGCCTTTGAACAAAGTCAACTTTTCATTCTCTGGAAATCAGAATGAATGAAGTGTGACCTATAATAAAAGGGCAGACTATAACTAGAAAAGTAAGAAATAAAGAGGCAGTCCCAGCCCAGCCACAGTGGTGAAACAAGCAGCACCACTAGCTGGAAGCCATCTAGGAGGCTTGGGTTCAGTTCCTGGGACAATCTGATCATGCCAGGTACAGCTGTAATGCCTGCAATCCTAGCTAAAAGCACACTGGGCATGTGTATGTGCATGCCCAAAATGACAAAAAGGGAATGGAGGAGAAGGGACTGCAGTGTGGCCATCCCCTCTGGGGAATGATTCTGTCTTTGTCTGGGAGGCAGAGGCAGGAAGATTGTGCCACAGCAAGACCCTGTCAAAAATACCTATTGTTATAGCTTACCCTTTCCTCCCTCTCACAAAGGAAAAATAAAAGTGGCAGTCCCTACAGAGGTTGACACTGAAACAAAAGCATCTTGCAAGATCAGTCCCATACCTTGTCCCAGAAAAATAGATAAGATTGACTAAATTCAAATTCTTCAATATTTAATTTTTTCATAAATGGAAGTCTCATAACATTCAGACAAGAAAATATCCAGCATCGCCCTGAAACAAGAGAGCAAAGCAAGAGATTAAGATGAGTGTTCACACAAATTACACTGCTCCAACTACAGTTCCAAACAAGGAATGCATCACAAGATGTGGACAACTCAAGACTAAATCAGAAAGAATAGAAAGATTAAAAACAAAACAGGGCCAACAGATGGCATGGTGGTTAAGACACTGGCTCCCCCATGGCCAAGTCCAGAGATTCGAGTCCTGCACCTTTTGGCCTGAAAAATACACTGGGCATTTGTGTGTGTGCCCAAAACCCCGAGAGAGAATGGAGAAGGGATTGCAGCGCGGCCATCCCTGCTAGGGGATGAATTCCCTCTCTGTCTCTCTCTGGTGAGCACACGAGGGATGAATTCCCTCTCTGTCTCTGGTGAGCACACGTGCCCTATGGCAAAAATAAATAAATAAATAAAATAAAAACAAAGGTAGTGATTACTGTTTACAAAATATAAGCAAAGGTTTAAGAAAGGTAGCAATTACTGTTTACAAAATATAAGCAAAGGTTTAATATCTTTAATGTATTAAAATAACTTCTCTACATATCACATAAATAGTCCATTGTAAATCACCCAAGAAAAATCACATTAAGGGAGAAAAAAAAAACCTCCACTAGCAAAACATGAGCAGCGGTCACGAATAGATCATTCAGTGCCAGGAAAAATATAAATGGTGACGTTCATAAGACACTGGTTAAGTAGAAAAACATCATTTTTAAATTGATAATGCCCAATATTGATAAGGACTCAAAGAAATAAGCATGGTTATTCCCGATAGAGATCTAAATAGATACAAAATACCTGAGGGCAATCTGGTAAACTTAACAAAAGCTTTAGTCTCTATTCTTTATCTGGAATATGCAGTGCATGCTTCAGTATAAGGTGACCTTAACAAAAGTCAATCTCTCATTCTCCCAATGAGGAGTCAGGAAAAGGAGATAGCTCGCTAACTGGATTACATAAACATTTGAAGATACAGATGAATTAGTAAATTGTCTACCTGTAACATTTATTTCAGTATCAAATCATGTTTACAATCATGTTAACATAATAACTTGATTGAGAAGCAGTTTTTCCCACTTTTTCATTTCATTTGCACACTGATTCACACTATTCATCACATACATCTTGCCATCAGCGCCTTTGTGGTCACCAGACCCACTCTTTTTTTTTTTTCTTTCTTTTTTTGGAGAGGTTTTTGCTATAGGGCACGTGCGCTCACCAGACAGACAGAGAGAGACAGAGAGATAGAAAGCGAGAAATCACCCCCCAGAGGGGATGGCCACACCGCAATCTCTTCTCCTCCATTCTCCTCTTGGGATCTTGGGCATGCACGCATACGTGCCCGGCATGAGTTTAAGCCACCGGGTCTGGGACTCGAACCGCGGTCGACTACATGGGAGTCCAGTGACATAGCCATTACGCTAACTGCTGGTCCCAACCAGACCCACGCTTGATCAGGATACATCATCTTTCTTCTACCTAGTATGTCTGAACCACAAGAATGTTTTGAATTCATGTATGATGCTGTCCCTGAAAACTGTACGCCAAGTATCACCTATATAATAATCACATCCTTTGTCTGTCTTTTAAGTGTATAATCACTAACTCCCCAATGGCGCTGCTTCCTATATGGATTTAAGCGAGCTTTAAAAGGCCCATTTGAAATGATATTCAACATTTTCATACTAGGCCACGTTCTAGGAATATATTGTATTCAAGTACTTTGCCTTTAAAAAAACTGATTTAATTAAATGATCTTCATAAGCATCTAAAACTTGTAGCGACTAAAGTTATTTCAGAGAAATATTTTGGTTAAACTGTTTTCTACTTCAAAATAAATTGAGAGTGCCCATTACGAGAGTCTTTGTAGGGGCCGCCAGATGATGTGGTGGTTAAAGGCGCTAGACTCTCACGTGGGCGACAGAGGTTTGAGTCCCGGACCTGGTGGCTTGCTTTCTCACTTTCCCTCTCTCTCTCTGATCAAACTGGAAAATAATAAATAAAGTTATATAAAATAATTCTTTTTAAAAAAAGTCTTTGTAAGGCCTCAAATAAAATCATTCTATCTTTTCTTAAGGAAAATTTGGAGGGAAAAACTGACTTACGTCTTTGTAAGGCCTCAAATATAAGGAAAATTTGGAGGGAAAAACTGACTTACGTTTGGACCTAACTTTTTAACTAGTTTGAGATGCTTATAATGTTGGGTTGTCGGAAAAGTCATGACGTGTTTGTGTTTTTCTATGCAAAATATGTCATGACTTTTCCAAGTACTCAATATATGTTACTGGTAATTGAAAAAGGCAGGTAAATTATCTAACAATGCATAAGGTGTCAACGCATAATACACATACACACAGGCCAGAAGGATATACAGGAAAAGGTATTCACCTGTTTGATTCTACAAATACTCTACCCTGAACATAACAATTTTATAACAAGGGAAAAAATGTAAAGTAACTATAGTGTTTTTTGAAAATCACTCATGCTTTACTTTAGTGCCATCTTCACCTTGGGTTCATCTATCGATCCGTGCCACCTCTGTCCTGCACACTATACACACATATTTCTTGTAGAGGGAACTGGATGAGTCATTAATAGGAAAACTGCATGAAAATGGACTACATAGCTCCTGTGTTATTTGTATCTTTAGTAAATAAAAGCAACAGAACAGAATGTATAAGCTTGGATCTGTTCCAGATGAACACTTCCCAGCTATTCCCTGAGAAGTCACTGCAACCTAAAAACTACGCAAGACCACTGATCCTGTTTAATAACCAGATCACTGGTAGCCTGGCAGCCCACACCGTGCCAAGCACTTGACTTTTATGGCAGAACACTAATCATTGTCAGGTAATCATTTTTCCCTAAAATTCAAAAATCAACTTTCAGGCATACTTCACATTCAATAAAAAGTAGATGAACTGTACACTTTGTAAGTTCTGATGGCTTTAAGCAAGCACTAATGCGATGTCAATACAAATAGACAGGGAGTAGTTTTTAAGTTAATAAAAAGTTTTTTAAAACTCTTTTGGTATAATTTTGTTGTGAGAATGTTCTCCCTTATTTAGGTTCCTGGATTTTCAATGAAGCTGTTTTCCTAACAGTGGTGCTAGGCAATAGATGGCAAAACAAGACTTGTTGACAAGTAAGGCATGAGAACTGATTTGGTCTATAGGTGGGAGCTCAACCCATCAGCAGAGGAGCTCCAGATGTAACCACCAAGCATACTTAAAAATCTCATTTCATGATATGATGTAATCACACTGTGTCTTTTCTATATTTCATACATTTATCTAAGGCCTTCAGGGCAATTCTGGGAAGTCCTCCAGGGCATGAACATTTTTTGCACGGTCTGTTTTGTGATCTGCAAGACACGGGCTGCAATTACATAACATCAGGACAGCATATACCGAATTAACGCACACATATGACCATGAACTTGATGCTGTAGTGCTCAAACCTAACGAGCCAACAAGCCACCGAGCACCCAAATAAGCCACACGGATGGTAAAGTTCTTCGGCCTGCCTTTGCTAGTGCCTATTTTCTAGGAATTTACTACAGAACCTTTCAGTTCAAAGCTCTGTACCCTAAGATCATTCTTAAATAAGACATCAAAATGGGACGCCGTCAGGAAGGCAAGTAAACCGAGCAAGTTTTAAGACCATACCTGAGCTCTTCTGGTTGGTGACTGGCTTGCCTTCCAGGGGCACAACGTGCTGGAACACATGCTGAGCACCCTGCACCGTGGCCCTCTTCAGGCAGATGTCTAGCAGGTCGTGGGTGGTCCCCACATTCTGGGCAAGTACGAACTGAGGGTCAGAATTCAGTTTCTGAATCAGAGCAGCTACCTTCTCCGAATTCAGCCCTGTTGGGAGACCAAACGGGATGAGAACACTAAAAAGAAGCTGCAGAGGCCCCGGGGCGCCCACAGCCCGGTGGAACTTCATAGGACGTTCTGAGCTGAGCGCTGCAGCGGGGAAGCGCTTTCCCGGCGTCCATCTCTAAGATGCCGTGTCGCTCCAGGCCGCTCCAGCCCGCTCCGGAGCTGCATCCCCGCCATCGCCTTGGTCCCAACCCCCGGCCTTCCCTGCCGCCGGGCCTCCCGGGTCCCAGGGTCCCCACAGAGGACCCCGGCGGCGCCTCGGGGCGAGAGGAGACCGCGGCGCCTCACCCGCGTTGCTCATGGTGCCCACGCTGCCGGGAGGGGTAACGGCGGTTCCTGGGGTCCTCGGGCGTGCGCCGGCGTGCGCTGCGGCTCGCTGCCTAGGTGGCCCGACCAA